AGCGCACAAGAGGCCCATTGCCAAGGCTCGCCCTCTCCAAAAGGTCCCTCTGTTGTGAGACAACGTGGCGATAGTCCCTCCGTTTAGAAGCACAAATGCTCCGAACCCCAGCGATAGGTTTGCGGCTCGCGACAGAGTGTGCCCACCTGCCCGATGCGGTCCTGCTCTGCCGCGGGACGTAAACCGCCCACAATCACCCTTGGTGCCGCGCCATGCGACCAGGGGGGTGGCCGCTTGCATATCAGCGAGCTATTTCCTGAATGGTGGTCCGTCGCTCTACTGTATTCCTGGGTGGCCATTTGCCATTCCAGCTCTCTTGTCAAAAGGTCCCCCCCTCAGCAACAAAGGCCCTTTTGAGCGGCGCAACGGCCAGCGTTGGCTGGGACAGGTGAAGCCTCGCCCTCTGGCGTCCTTGGTTCCTCGGCTAGTGGATAGATTTCGTCTTGTCTAGTGGCGAATGGCTGGCTCTCTCCAGACTAACAGGGCCGAAGAAGCTGCAAGTCAGAGATATGGAATAGGAACAGGGAAAGAGGGAAAACGACATACAGAGACGAGCCAGCCGAGGACAAGGATCTGTCCGCCGCAAGCTTGAGTAGGGATGGGGCCTCAAGTTGATGCTCAAGATGGATGATACGAGTGGCACTCTTACCCCAGGAGAGGCCCAATAAGCCGGGTATGAGTGGTCGGGTTCAAGGCTGTTGCCAAGCGATGCTAAGTACATACGGTGCCTTATCGCCAGACATCCATGAGAAGAATCCTAGAGAAGACCAGAGATCATCACCTGTCTCAAGCCCTTATTCCTCTATTCGTGCAACCATAGCTTTGAATTAACCAGTGTTGCTTGAGAACTTCATAGTAGTAGATCAAGTCTCAGCTCACTGAAGATAATACTTGATGCTTGGTCTGCTAGAGGTCAAGATCCGTCTCCATGGCTCGGCGAAGACTAATCGGCCGCATCAACAAGCGGTAGGTAATCATCGACTTCGTATATCCTTATCAGCAGGCCAGTGAGATGTCTGTACGAGTATGTAGGTGCTTGAAACAGCGCCATTATTGGAAAAGCCATGGCTCCGCATTGGGGGAGAGGGTTCCGTACGAGGCGAGCATGGTTGGCCCGAGCCGGTTTTCCAATTCTCACCTACTTGTATCCGTACGCTCGCTCGCGTTTTGTTCCATTGGTGACAGGATACCATGACGACACACAGCCTGCTGGTTCTGGCCCTCCCGGTAATAGCCATGTGTCCAAGTGGTCAAATGTTCCCCGTAATATCTCGTGCTTGAGCGTGCAATCCTTGGGCCGGCACCGCTGCAGGTGCTGTGTGCTGTCGAAAGTTCGTCAGTAAAGTCCGTGCGAGCAACACGGGTTCCGAACCGGGCGGTACCAACATCGCTACACCTATAGACAGGAATTTGGATCCATATCTGCGGCAAAAAGTGCCGAGAGTCTATCCATCATTGCCCAATAGTAATTGTCGAGTATACCAGAAGGGTGTTGAATGAGGAGGAAAGATAGGGGAAATGGCGAGGACAATATGATGATCAAGAAGGTGTAAATGTACCGGGTGCCATACGAAGCAGCAGGTCGTACGAAGTACTCTGTACAAGGCTGGTGAAGTCATAAGAGTACATACAGTCGTTCAGGATTCAGGAGCTCCCTCTCTCATTGCTGATAGCATCGGGCGGGCGGCATTCTCACCCTCCTCTTCTTCCCCTCTCTCCTCACCCAAAAGGTCCTCGCCCTCTGCATAATATTGATTGTTGTTGGTTCAGCCGTCGAATCAGTTTTTTTTCGTTATCTGTATCTGACGGCATAGTTGCGCACACGAATGTAAAGACCCCGACAGAAATCCCCTTATCTCAGAGGGCAAAACTTCTCGTCACGGGCAGTGTCAGCGAGCGAGCATCGAGACAGCCGTTTCTGTCGGTTTCCATCCATGTTGCATGTATAAAAAGCTCAGCACATGGTGACATTTTCGGATCCTCGCAAGTCATCGTCAATGAGCATCACACAGTCTGTTCTGCCCAGGCGACTTCCATCGTTCATGTAGGTAATAATACTGCGCCCATACGAGGACAGGTATGGAGATCAACTGCGGTATTGCCCTCGACCCGGCACCTTTTTTCTCTCAAATGCTCCGGCACCTAGTATCCAGCTGTCCCCGCATGGCCTGCATGGAGGGAGGGTTAGACTAGGGCCGGGGTGGCTGAAAACTAGACAAGGGGTGAAGACCCATGCAATGGCAACTGTTTTTAGATGCACTTTTGCTCGGCCAGATGGCGCTACTCCCGAGTCTGGAGCACATGTTGGAAGAGTGCGACTCTGGGTCGCCGGTTGTCGCGTGCAGTTGATCAATACATATAGCAGAGATAACAGATCGTTCCAGTTGCCGTTCCTGTGGGTACCAACGAGGTTGACTGGGTGAAGTGGGATTGAAGAGTTCTCGGTACCAGCCAACTTTGACGCGCGGTTGCCATCAAGTTGTGTGAAGATTGAAGAAGGCATGCGGGTGGAGGAACATAAGAAAGATATGGTAGGTTTCTCGAAGTGAAAGTGTCGGCAGCGACGGGCAGACATCTTGTTCTCCCACGTCATCTCGTCTGCCCTCAACGCCTAATGTTACCATTCTGCTCTTGTAGGCATGTCTCAATGATGCCCTGTACGTCGCAGTGAGTAATACTACACGTGGTAGTATCCCGTAGTAATAACTGTAAATGCACATCAGGGCCGTCGTCAGCCCAGCTGCGTACGCCATCCTGGCTGGCCCATTTGGTCCGTAGGATGAGTTGGCGGCTGCTTGCAAAAATAACCTTAAGCTGCGTTCCATATTTTGGGATCGACTCGTCATGTGAAGACAACATTCGAAAAACCTCCGTGCTCGCCGTCCCACCATTGGCGATCCTTTGACGCCGACCTCCGTAGATGGCCATGGAGCTGCCCGAGCAGCGCAGTAGGAGTACCTCGTATCGCAGTAATACCCCGGATTTTTTTCAAAACAAGAGGGCCTTTTGGTTAGCCCAGTTGATGCCTCAAACTCTCAGCCAACAAGCCTTGTGGCAGCGGCATTGTTGTTTCGTAACATTGGCAGAACCTGGTAGTAGGAACAGCTTGAGCCCTTTTGTGGTTCGATGCTCATCTGAAGTGGTCGGAGCGTCGAGTCTGCCGGACGAAAAACGATGTAGGTCAGTCTCGGACCACAATTCCCCTTAGAATGATGCGCACAGCTCGCCAGGTGATCAGGGACATGCCTCTCAAAGTAGCCGCTGAGACGGCGCGGCTGATAGTTGCCCAATCCTTCTAGTTGATCCGAGGTCTGGTGAGAGCCATGTCAGATTGAAACCCCCCCCCCCCCCCCCCTTCAAGGGGCAGGGCTGGCAAAAGAACCAAAGTCATTCCTTGAAATGTGCCGTTCGTTGGCTGCACGTAGGAACAGGAAGGCAATCGTGGAATCTGTGTGCAATGATCCCGTTAAGTGGAAGCATATAGTGTCATGGTTACCTCGTATGTGCTGCTGCTGTGGTATGAGGGTGGCTGTTTGGGGGAGATGAAGAGAGAGCGTATGGCTTTGGGCCAAAAGGTAGGAAAGGAAAGGCTCCGGTCGTTGTCTAGCTTCAACGATAAGTAGGAAGTTGCAGAATTGCAGAAAGGCGAAATTGGTCGTTCGTAGGGAATGCAATGGCAAGCACTCTGTGTGAGCCATCTTGCCTCCTGAGTACGAGCCACTATCGGCGGACTCTCAAGGCTATAGTCGACGTGTTATCACTAGAGCTTGTCGCGTGCTCCCTCTCTGAGGCTCGGCGTCAGATCAACGGCATGGCCAGTCAAGTGTATCATGCGTGATGTTCTCGAAACAAGGCAAGAATCCAGATTATTCGCATGAGAACCCATAACCCGACCTGCAGTTGTGTGGAGAGGCATCCGTCATTCATCACCCCAGCTTTGTCGAGTCGTCTGGGGCAGCATGGACCAACGTGGGCACGGTGTCATGAGACTCTTTGAGCAAGCTGATGGTCCAGAATGAATGAACTTTTGTCAACGCCAAGATTGGCCTTTAGCGCGTACGCAAGTCGGCCAACATTGGGCATTCGCCACGGGAGTTCGGCCAGCCCAGCTGCTTGCCGCGGCAAAAATACAGGTCGTACACGAGGATCCAAAAGCCATAAGTGATTGTGAGCTGTCGGTTGTTGGTGCGTCTGGCTTCAAGACGTGCAACAGTCTCCATCGGGGTGAGTAGTTTTGTCGGTTCGATTCCCCCCCCGGCTCATATTTGTCGTGGTATACTTCCCTGCGTCAGGCCCCCCGTCCCATACTTTGAGCGAGCTTTCGCGATGTTGGATATTCAATACCGTCGTAATCAAGCTCAGGGGAATTCAGCAGCAGAAGGACCAGCCGCTGGTAGGCTTCAAAGACGCATGCCCATCAGCCCTGCAGCCCTTCATATCACTCGAGGACCTCACGCGCTCGTGATATAGTGAAGGCCGATAATACCCTATCGACTCGACACCACTTCAGGAATAGCCCAAGTTGCTGATAGTGTTGAATTTGACTGCTGAAAGCTGCAACCAATGACCCAACCCATGTTGTAACGAGGGTGAGAACCGGTTCTCTGGACAGGACCTAGATTGCCACCAACAATATACCTGCCATGGCCTCGTACCCAGACAGCCCAGGCATAGTTGCGTCGCCACGTGTCAGTCGCAGCTGAGGAAAGACCCGGTAAGCTGGCTATCTCTTCCCTCCATGTGGCGGCACATCGTTTTTCGTATCTTGATATTTTCCCATTTTCGACATCGACGACGCAAAATCCCGTCGACGCAAGCAGCTTTGCCCCTTGGGTTGAATCCGGGAATATCCCAAAGTCGACGGCAATCGAACAAACGTATCATACAGGCTGTCTCCTTGTACTGTACACGGAAGTGGCTTGGGCGACAATGGACTTGTTCAGAGCTCGGCTGCAAACAAGTCGTAGCCGAGCTTCGGCATTGTCGCATCAGACTTTGCTTTATTTTCCGAGGCCCGCCTCTCGGCGCATTTCGTCTCTCCGTGCAGCTGCCTCCAATTGCTGTAACCTTGCGGCTTCCAGATCTGCTCTCTTCTTCCTTTCCTCTTCTTCTTTCATGACGGCCCAAACTGGTTCAGGGCGTTAGTCTCCGCTTTCATGGACAACGATTGACAATCATGTTTGGGGAAATCTTGATGGACAAACTTGGTTTATCAGACTTGGAGTACTCCTTGAGCCGCGTGACAAACTGGTCAAACTCCTGCTGCCTCTCCTCTCTGCCCTCCAGGCTCCTCTTGAGCAGTTCAGGATTGTACCTGGACCGCAGCTCTTCCTCCGTTGGCACCAGCCAGAAAGTCAGTGCTGGCCCGCCAATGCTGATGACCGATCCGCTGCGGTAGAGAAATGGCGATTAGCATCAATATCTTGTGCCCATCGTTGAAATCCGGGAGAGTCAACCCCGAGTCAAAGTGCTACTACTCACCCCACCAGGACCTTGATCCACAGCCCCCAGTTGATGGGTTTCTTGGGAGGCATTTTGCGGTTTTGTTGTTTGAGACGTCTGGATGACCGATATGATTCGACGGGGAACAAGATGAATGTGGTTTATGAGCTTCTATGTTCGGTTTTTGTTGCGACGGCTTCAAGTTTATGCCTGAGGGGAAGAAGCTCTTGCGTAAGTATTTCGGCAGTCAAAGAGCAGGCGTCATGGAATTTTGATTTGGCCTGCTAGAGCTCCCAAAGTGGGAAGGCGGTGAAGAAAAAGGTGATTATGTAATTGCACCCCAGCTGGCACATTCACAAACTTTGCTAGGAACCGTCTGCAAGACAAAACCCAGGAACCAGGATACTATTACCATGAGTTCCGAATATTCAGATGTAGCAATGCCTTCCTGGTGATGACAAGTGACCAGATGCAGTGAACATCTACAGATCTTGAGGACCCGTGGGACAGATTATCTGTTGCCTGAGGCACGAAGAATAAGCTCCCGAGAAACAAACCAAAGGAACGCATGTGACCGATAGGGAAGGCTGCTTGGGTACATGTAGTAATGACTCTTGCTCCGATGGCGCTACGAGGGCTGAGACCGAAGGAGCCAAAAGCATTCGACTAGAAAGAATGATGCAATATTGTCTTCACAATGAACGACTCTGGCCTCGGTGGCTGAGTTTCTGTTTGGTCGGGAGGCTTTCTGCTGCAGAGATGTTCACGTCATACCCTATAATGTACGTGCGAATTGGATAGTGATTGCATGTATTTTGGACGATGGAGCTCGAATTTTTCCTGGATCTGTATGCTGGCTTGTCAATGTCAAATACAACCATCAGTCTCATTGATTTCGGCCTGTCTATATGAAAATGCCATATTGCTACAGTACTCGTCTGACTGGCATTGTAATTCTGACTTCGAGATATGTACGTTTATTTCACGTGGTTGCAGGTACCTACCTACCTAGGTGCTAGTAAATGATGAGGGATGATGACATATAACGAGCCCAGCTTCACCAATGCGAACCTCGGCCCCTTTCTTCCTAGCCACCAGGCCTATCGAGGCAAAAAAAGAAAGTTGCGATCTGTGTGGCTTGAACACACGACCTTCAGATAATTGGAGATTGAAGTTTGGAGGTACTTCAGTCTGACGCTCTCCCAGCTGAGCTAAGACCGCGACGATGTGGATCACCACAGAGCAAACTGCTCCATATTGGTGCTCTGAGGAAATTGAAGCAGCGGGATGGGGGTTTAGAATTCCATGATTGACTCTCTTGTGGTGGTTTCCAACAAGAGGAAAGCATAGTAGAGCGAATGGGACACGGCAGAATCAAAGTGAAACTCGGGGATGATGTGCCGAGTTTCAATAAGGTGCCACGGAGGAGGATGGTGGGTCTCGCATGAATGTGACATGAAGGGGCGTGATTCTTTGGCTCGGTAGGCAAGTATTGTTGTTTGAACGAGCTGCCTGTGCTGTGACCAAAGATTGTGGTTATCAACCTTTGGTGACGATGTTTTACGTCGAGACAAGGGCTCTAACTAAGAGAAGAGACAAATCATGATGCCTACCAGTGTAACCGATGGATTGGACCCCCAACATACAAAGTAATCAGGTCGTCTTACAGCAGACTTGGCAACGTGCTACAGATCGTTGGGCTCATTCAAACTGCGGAACTGCAGGGACCAGAGCTCCTGGAGGTGTGACCCTTTCACAACTACAGTAGACCGTCTAGACGCTGACATTTCGGGGCTACCTTTGGTTTGAGAAAAAAAAAAAAAAGGACTAATATTGAACCTCAGCCGTGTTCAGCAGACTTGAAGGATGGGGGATCGGCATCGTGCATATGGGACAAAGAGACGGCTTCTATGTACTGTATTAGTAGGGAGCATCTCGGCATATCACTACTACTAAACTACTACTAAGACTAAGCATAAAGATGGAATGAAACGGGACGGGCTGACAGCAACAAGCAGTTGGGGGGGCTTTCAAAAAGTGATGGGGGTTTGCTGTCGACAGCGCTCAGAATGCGGAGCACTTGGCAGGGACACAAACACCAGTCACGAGCCTGAAAGGGTCTTGATTCGACGCCACGGGCATGGCACCAGGGCACTGTGAGGCCTCACCTCAGCCACCAGATGAAATCGATTGGGCTGCAACCCCGGTCAGCGGCGGGCTGTCATGCGGACGGGCTCTCCAGGAGCTAATAATACGCCCGTGATGGTTGTAGCAAGCAGAAGCACTGCAGCCCTCGAGTCGGGACGAAGGAAGTGGAAAAGGCGACGAGGAGGCCATAGTCTTAGTATTGCGAATATCATAGATAATAGTACTAGGTCCTGCGGTGCTGTCACGGCTGGTTGCGACCGTTTCCCACCTACCTAGTCCTCATACGATAATGATTACTGCAGGGACCAGGCATTAATCAAAGCACCAAGCAGTAGTCAAACACCCTCCGTCTTGTGCTGTGGCCGGGATTATTTTGCCGGTGTGACGCCCAACTCCGCTCGGGGTCCTGGCCGTCTCAAACCACTGCACGCGGTGTTTCTCCAACGCTTCTCCCATTGAATCGGGGGTTCCAACGCTGACGGGCGGGCAAAATTGACAGCAAAGCTTCGACGCTCCTTTTTTCTGCCTTTACCGAACCAACAGTCGCTCTCTTTGGTCTCTTCCCTTTGTGCCTGAGCTTGTGGACGACCAAGACTCAGGGTAGGGCTGTCGGAGGGTGCAAGCGAAGCCAGCAAGGATCTTGACATTCTGTTGTTTTTTTCTCTCTTTGAATTCATACCCATATCTGTTGCCCCCTCGGGCGAATTGCCCAAAGCCATCCATTCCTTGGCGAGCTGGCGGCTAGTCAATGGTTTGTTGTTATCGTTCGTTCCCGTTGTTGAGACCCAACAACGCTCGCACCCGAAGAGACAAGACAAGAGACACTTCGCCCAGTTCGAGACACGACGTCGAGCCCACGAACTGAACACACGCGCGCCTGACCGAACCCTCGAGGCGAGACACGATCGATCTTCTTGCTCGGAAACGCAGCTTGCCGTGAGCATTACACCTATACAACACCACGTACACGCACCCTTGAAAGCAGGAAAGCAGCAGACGAGCACCAGAACAACGGCACAAGCAGCGGGCATCCACGCGCGGCTTCAAGCGGGTGCCTGTGCGACCCTGTTGAGACACCCGACGGCGCCAACGCCTGCCAACCGGAGAGCGGCGCTGGGCTTGTCATCTCGGCTTGGTATGGGCCGGCAGAGACATCTTGCCGCTGTAATCCTTTGCCCTTAATCTCCAATTTCTCTTGTCTTCTCTCTGCTATTTCAGCTGTATCCAGATACCAGATACCAGCAGCATCAGCATCGCGTTCGAGGCGCCTGCGGAAGACAAAGAACGATCAGCGCCCTGCCAAATCTTGTCTTGCTCCAGACGATACCAACACAATACACCTTTCCCTTGTTGTCTTTTCTTTCTCCTTCTTTCTCCTCTTCGTTTTGGCATGGGTGTTTGCGTACCAGAACCGTTTAGTATCCGCCAGCTATAGCATCACGCGTGCTTCTTTCTATAGAGTCGCGAAGTCGATACGAGCGCCGAAATCGAGACAAGGGAAAAGAGTAGAAATCAAACCAGAAAACAAGTAATCCTAATGGCATACGAGGGCGGATACAACGGGGCCCAACAGCGGCCGTACGCTGGTTCGGCGGCACCTCCATCCATGGCCAGAGGCTACGGAGGACCGAATGAGTACCATCAGGACGATGGCTATGGCGGTGGTGGAGGATACGGGCCAGAGTACGGAAACAACCAGCACCAAGACGCCGGATATGCCCAAGGTCGGCCCGGCCCGGCGAGAGGCGGCCGCCCTCCGCAAGGGGGAGGCCGAGGAGGCCCTCAAATGATGCCACCAGAGGGGCAGCGAGGGGCCAACTACCCCCCGAGAGGCGGCATGGGTCCTGGGAATAGGGGCAGGCTGAACATGCCTCGGGGAGGAGGCCCAGGTCCAGGTCCAGGTAAGCCTTTCCCAATCCTGCCATTACACTCGAGCCCGGACTTCCGTAAAGCCCGATTTTCGTCAATAGCCCTGTTCCGCAACGCCCGACCTCACTACCAATCGTCTCTACAAGAAAGCAGACAAAACGAAAGACAAGCTCTAACCTGTAATCATCATCTCTCGTTCTAGGTGGCCGGCAACCGATGAACAACCCTCGCATGAACGCCCCCGGCCCGGGGTATGCCGACGGCAACTACCAGCTCGCAGACCAGATGTCGCAGATGGACCTCAACGGACAAGGACACCGACAGCCTCCGACCCGAAACCCCTCCCAGAACTACGCAGACCCAAGACGCGGACAGCCCAGGCAGGCACCCGGCGGCTACGGAGACCACGCGGACTACGCAGACGGCGGATACGGAGCCCGGCCGCCACCGAACCAATACGGAGCGCAGCGAAGCATGACGATGCCCAACAGCGTTGCTGCTGGGCGAGGAGTCCCGCAGAGGCCGGCCACAACAACGGGGAACCGGCCCCCGCCGCAGAGGACATACCCTCAAGACACTCAGGGGTTACCGCCGCAGCGTCAGTACAGCAATGCGGGAGGTCATGGTCCGGGTCCCAACGGCTACGGCCCCGGCCCCGGCCAGCATGTTGACGATGGATACGGTGCCCCTTCGTATAACCAGGCGGTCGACGACCTGTACGACTCTTACTACGACGAGCCGAGCGCCAGCACGACGCACCTCAACCCGCAGGACTCACGGATGCTGCAGCCGCATGCCCGCCAGGAAAGCCGCTCCAGCATGCCCGACTTTGACGCCATCCCGGCTCACAGCAAACGAGACTCGTTCGAGCAGTCGATGCGGCCGGGCAACGAGCAGCCGCTTCAGGGGGCTCACCAGACGCCCAAGTTGAGCCACGCTCGATCCATGGTAGAGCTTCGCGAGCCGCAGGCGGCCGTCTTCGAGATGACGAGCGACATCCCTGCAGTGCCAGCAATTCCACAAACGCACGCGTATCAACAGCAGCAACAGCAAGGATACGGACAAGATGGGTACGGTCAAGGCCACAATGGCCAAGGATACGGTCAACACGAATACGACCAAGGACACAATGATCAAGGATACGGCCATAACGGATATGACCAAGGATACGCCGGACCTGGAGGTTACTCTCAGCCGCCGATACCTCGAGGCCCGAGTGCGCCCCCTGGCCCGGCTGGGCAACATCCCGGCTTCGCCAACAGCCGCCCGCCCATCGTCAGGCCGGGCACAGCCGCTCCCGCGAACCCGGACAGTCTGCCCGCGCATCCGACGCCGGTGCGGCCGGGCTTGATGGAGAACTCGATGGTGAACCCGAATGCTAAGCCGCCTCCGGTCCGGAACTATGGAGGAGGTCCTCAGATGGGACAGCAGCCTGTGCAACAGTATCAGCAGCAGCAGCAGCAGCAGCAACAAGCAGCACCCATGCAGCAACAGCAGCAGCCGCCGCCGCTGCAGCAGCAGACGCGGTATTCAGGACAATCGCAACATTCAGAGCAGCAGCAGCAGCCGTATCCCCAACAGGCTCCGCCTCCAGTACGGCCAAAGGAAAAGGAGCCCCCGGTCACCCCCGGCGAGCTGGAGCACTTGCGGATGGTCATCAAGGGCAACCCCAACGACCAGGGATCTGCGCTCAAGCTGGCCAAGCGGCTCATTGAGGCCTCTGATGTCCTCGTTCCCAACATTCCCGACGCGAGAGCCAGGTCCAAGGCCCGGGAGCGGTACCTCGCTGACGCCCACAAGATTCTCAAGAAACTGGTCAGCTCACAGAACCCAGATGCCATGTTCATCATGGCCGACGGCACTGGCAGGGGCTTGTTCGGCCCCGATGCCGATTCCAAGGAGGCCTTTACGCTCTACCAGTCGGCGGCCAAGCTGGGCCACGCCGCCGCTGCGTATCGTACGGCCGTCTGCTGTGAGATTGGCCACGAGGAGGGTGGCGGCACGCGCAAGGATCCCATGAAGGCCATCCAGTGGTATAAGCGTGCGGCGACTCTGGGCGATCCGCCTGCCATGTACAAGGTCGGCATGATCCTGCTCAAGGGGCTTCTAGGCCAGCCTAAAAACCCGCGAGAGGCGGTTGGGTGGTTGAAGAGGGCGGCCGAGCGGGCAGATGCGGAAAACCCGCATGCCCTTCACGAGCTCGGGCTGCTGTACGAATCAGCCCAGGGCAACGATGTCATCATCCGCGACGAGCAGTACGCCCTGTCTCTGTTCCAGCAAGCGGCCGAGATTGGCTACAAGTTTTCGCAGTTCCGGCTGGGCTGTGCCTACGAATACGGGCTGCTGGGTTGCCCAATCGACCCCAGACTGTCCATCGTCTGGTACTCGAGGGCAGCTCAGCAGGAGGAGCATCAGTCCGAGCTGGCCCTGAGCGGCTGGTATCTGACCGGTAGCGAGGGCGTCCTGGGCCAGAGCGATACCGAGGCGTACCTGTGGGCGAGGAAAGCTGCTGTTGCCGGACTGGCCAAGGCAGAGTACGCAATGGGGTACTTTACAGAGGTGGGAATAGGCGTCCCGGCCAACCTGGAAGATGCCAAGCGGTGGTATTGGCGAGCAGCCGGTAAGTTCTATCGATCTAGAAGGAAACATCTAATCTTTGTACGATTCATGACTGACGCGGTGTTGTTGTAGCCCAGGACTTCCCCAAGGCTCGAGAACGGCTGGAGGACCTGAAGCGATCCGGAAAAGAGAAAGCTCGTCCGAGGGAGCGTATCTCGCGAAGTCGCATCGAAAAGCAAGACGGAGACTGTGTGTTGATGTAGAGATGATCAGCTTCCTTCTTCCTTCTTCTTTCTTCTCTGCTCTTCTTCCCCTTCCTGTTGAGCTTGGTCTTCTTCTTGTGTATTGTAGGGGAATAGACGAGAAGATGCAGCAATGCGTCTCCTTGTTCTGGAATGCGTGGTCATAGAAAGAAGCATAGAAAATCAGCAGGGAAAGCGAGCCAGGTGTTTTTTTCCCTCTTTAGTCTTTCTTCTTCTTCTTTTTCAATTGTTAGATACCAAGTGGGCAGAATGGGATGGGTTATGGAAAGCTGATGATGTTTTGACCGGTGACCGCGCATGTTCTTGATGCTCGTCCGATACTTCCGCCGTGTTCCCCGACAGTTTCGTTTGTTCTCCCGTCTCTTCTCTTCTTCCACATTTGACGTAATGCAGTCCAGGTTGATAACGAACCCTTTGTGAGGTATTATACTATTTCACACGTAAATGACTCGATCAACTACTTGGCTTTCAGTAAAAAAGAGCCAGTGCCGATAGTCGCCCACGAGACGATGCCAAGGCTGAGCGGCGGCCGTTCAGAAGCGCCGCATGATGAATTTCTCGCTGCAGAGTGACGTCGAGGATGGTGTGATCCGGGGTCATGTCGACCCTCTGAGGTGTTGAGCATTAGGATACGGAGCCTTAGCGGCTGATCAGATATCAAACAACAAGCCGCAACGGGGGATTCGCTGCCTGTCAGAGAATAATGCTGGGTAAAGAGCAGTGCTCCATCGACTCGTAAGCCTGGCTTGCCTGCCGAGCATCTGGTTGCAAGGGCTCGAGGGGCGAATAGCCTTCGGTGGCTTGGGTGGAACAAGTGACAAGCCCTGTGCTCGCTTCGACTCTTGTCATATTCCGTAGTGCGTAGTACTGTATGTAGTAGTAGCGTAGCATCACCGCTTGTTTGCGAATCTTGCGGGGGAAGATTCTCGACCGCGTGAGCCGCAGCAGAAAACCGTCCCAATCCATGATCCCGGCCAGAAGATGGATACCCTTACATTTGCATCTTCGCGTTATTGTACTCGAGGCGAAGCGCTTCGAATCTCTCCCCCAGAAAGTTGCTGGTCCAACGGTAATGGACGGTTAAATGCTTCTAGCAATGAACGCGCCGGAAATCCAAACATAGGGGGAAACACCCAAGCAGCTCAACAAAGCTCCGGGCTTCTTCTTCTCCGTAGCTCCAGTGCCACAGCATGGCTACTAGTAACAGCACGAGGCGTCAGCCAGACCGGCTTCCAGGGCTCAATCCAACCCCCCATGGTCCGCGCTGCCGTCATCAAACATGGAATGGCCAGGCGTGTCCATGGCGGGGAGCCGTTGAGCCAGTGGGGGTTCCCAGGCAGTGGCATGTGCAGCAGCTCGGGCGCTTCACCTGACTCGCCGTAAAGGCTGCGGTTGGACCGTCCACTGCTGATTGTGCCATGTCCGGGGTCTGGGAGAGAGCTAGTGCTGTGGTTTTGCTGCTGATCAGCCATTGTCCATCAAGGTGGTGGGTGCTGGTTGGCGCTGAAAGGAGGACTAGCAGGGTAGTTGTGAGCAAGGCAAACGATAGGAAGCGACCCTTGTTTTACGACACCTAATACTGACAAGCCCTCATCCTAGACTCAATCCTAGACAGACGCTGGCATCATCAGCCGTGTCTTCTTCCTTCTGCTCGGGGTCCGATAACGTCTGGTCTCTTCTGTCCCGGTGGGCCATCCAAGGCCAGATCTCGCGCTAGGTAGATAGAGGTTGCAAGATCTTGGGGCCTTTCCTTCGTGATTAGCCAGCCATCAAGTCTGCTAAATTGTTAGCACGTGCGGAGCAAGAACGTTCGAGACATTGACTTCATTCCTCCACGCTCTGGCATCTTCCTCTCCTCCATCATCCTCTCTGTATATGTTGCTCTTCTTCTCCTCCTCCCCATACATACCTACTCGCTACTCCTCATCTTCTCTCCTCTGTATACTTAGTTACGGTACCTACTCACCTCGCTTTTGATTCTCTGCCCTTATATCCTGTAGCTGCCCTCTCTCCCTCCATCCCGCTCGACGACGCGAAACACACAAGCAGAAGGATATCCTGCTCTGGAGCAAAGCCTGCGCGTTGCTGGTCTACGCCACAATTTCTTGTCATACGTCCTCGCTACCTGGGCGAACAGCTCTAGACCCGAGTCCCATTGTCCTCTGCATAGTCATCCCTCTTCGACCGTTTTCTGGATCGCATCTTTACCGTTGTGGCGTGTCTCTGCGGCAGGTCTCAGAACTATTCTTAGACGGAACATATCAACACCAAAGAAAAGCGTCATATCTTCTCCCTCTACGCCTATAGACCCCCTTGGCTTTGCCCCTTCAGATTCGACTGCTGAATACACTGCCTCCATGTATCCTTGACCAACTTCTTTCGCTTTGGAAGTCGATCCTTGATAACCACCTACTTGAGCTACTATCCTCAAAGCGTGCGGCAGCAGTCTCTGACGTTTGGTCTCGTCGATATCAATCCAGATGGCGCCCGAAGGGCAAACCAAGCAAAGCCGGTGGCGGCTCGGCCGTCACGGTGGTGCAGCAGCTGAGAAGGCTGGTGAAAAGCCTGGGCCGACCAAATGGAGCATGGGCATGTTGAACGATCCGGAAACTATTGAGGTTCCAGGTGAGCAGCTGGCCGCGCTGTGACATGCGTCCTCCTTCTCTTTCTCTGTCCATCTTCAACACGTCTGAGCTTCATTAACGTCGAGCTTGATTCACAGGCTCCGTCTTGCTTCTGGCTAGTGACCGCAACGAGCCACTCGGCCTGCGCAATGTTCATGCTCGCACTTCGCACTCGTCCATTCCTGTTGGCTTTCCTGTCGGGACTCCCAGGACGCCCGGCGGCACTCAGCTATCACCGTGGACTCCCTCCGAACCCGAGAAGCCCGTGGAAGAGACTGCCGGCAAGAAGAAGACGGGCGATGGTAAGATCATCTTGGATCCGCAGCCGGAGGAATCTGCAAACGATCCCCTGAACTGGCCCTCCTGGCGGCGAGATTGCGCCCTCCTTTCCCTGGGATTCTACTGCATGATCGGAGGCGGCATGACGCCCCTGATTGCTGCGGGATTCACCAACGTTGCGCAGGACTTTGACGTGTCTGTCGAGCACGTGTCCCTCACCACTGGCCTTTACATGATGGGCTTGGGCCTTGGGTCTGTCATTGCCTCTCCCACCGCCATTCTGTTCGGCAAACGACCTGTGTACCTCGCTGGAGCCATCCTCTTCATCGGCACCTGCATCTGGGCTGGATACTCGCCCAGCTTCTCCTCCCTCATCGCCGCCAGAGTCTTCCAGGGCGTTGCTGTGTCTCCGGTAGAATGTCTGCCGTCTGCCACCATTGCCGAAATCTTCTTTCTCCACGAGCGCGCGTACCGAATCGGAATCTACACCCTCTTGCTCTTGGGAGGCAAGAATCTTGTACCCCTCGTCAGCGCCGCCATCATTGGTCGCTTTGGATGGCGCTGGGCTTTCTTGTAGGTTGCGAATCTTCTTCACCCGCTTCTTGTTTGCCCAAGCTTGGCTTCTAACCTGCTTTCGCCTTGGATTGTAGTATTGTTGCCATGGTCGTGGGGTTTGCATTCGTCCTACTCTTCCTCTTTGTCCCAGAGACCTTCTGGGATAGGACGCCAACACGGCGAGTTTCGAGACGACCTAGTTTCCTTCGCCGGCTGTCATCCCGCCATGCCGACCCTGCTCATGCATCGGCCGGTCCCCTCTCCCCTCGGGGAAAATCACCGGAGGGCTCGCGGTCCCCGGGGGCCATCGAGCGCCGCAGAGAGGTACACGTCGAGTTTACGCCCAACGTGGAGACCCCGTCTCATGAGGGCCAGGAACCCTTGGGTCAGGACGCAGAGCTGCCGTCTGGGAGTCCTCAAGTGGGATTCATAGTCTCGCCGCCGGAGAGCCACAAACCAGAGGGAGGCGGACCGGGGGCAGCCAACCCCGGGGAATCCTCGCGCGGACCGTCAATCCACAGTCCCCGAGCCTCCGTCACGTCTCCGCGGTCTAGTCTAGCCCCTGAACGCGGCCGACAACTCCATTCAACACCGCCTCCCGTTCACAGCGGAGCCAACAGCATGGTGATTACCGAGTATTACTCGACAGCGCCCAATCTCGACAACGAAAGGTTCCCCTCGTGGAAGCTCAGAGCGCCCCCAAAGGTCAAGGCGTACACCCACAACCTCCGCAACCAGCCGGCCCAGACCTTTGTTCAGCAGCTCAAGCCCTATCATGGGCGGCTCAACAACGACAACTGGTTCAAGGTCATGGCTAGGCCGTTTATCCTGTTTGCGTACCCCGCCGTCCTCTGGTCCGCCGTCATCTACTCCTGCTCCATTGGTTGGCTGATTGTCATCTCCGAGAACCTGGCTGTCATCTACCGTAACCCGGACGGATACAACTTCACGGCTCTCCAGACCGGCCTCGTCTACGTCTCGCCCTTTGTCGGCGGCATCCTTGGCACTGGCGTGGCCGGTAAGATCAGCGACATCATTGTCCGGGCCATGGCTCGTCGCAACGGGGGCATGTATGAGCCAGAGTTTCGCCTCGTCATGGCCATACCGATCCTGATCACCACGTGCATAGGGCTCATGGGTTTCGGATGGTCTGCGGAGGAGAGGGACAGCTGGATTGTCCCCACCATCTTCTTCGGCATCACCTCGTTTGGCTGCTCCCTCGGCTCGACAACGTCCATCACCTTTTGCGTTGACAGCTACCGCCAGTACGCCGGCGAAGCCTTGGTGACGCTCAACTTTTCAAAGAACGTGCTCCACGGCTTGGTGTTCAGTCTGTTCATTTCCCAGTGGCTTGCCGCGGACGGCTCGAAGAGCGTGTACATCTATCTCGGCGTCATTCAGCTCATCTTCTGCCTGTGCTCCATTCCCATGTACATCTTTGGCAAGAGGGCGCGCATGTGGACGGCGCGCAAGAACCTCATGGAGAAGTTTTAGCAGGCAGCACACATGCATTTGTCTTTGTTTTTTTTTTTTTTTTTTCTTTTTCAACGGGTCAAGATCGCATCATGTTCACACACGTCTTTCTTTGACGGGCATCATACGGCGTTTATCCTGGAGGGGTTTGTTCCTTTTCGATTTCCTAGCACTCTGATGCATGGGATAAGTCAGTAGGTAGTCTCGACGGCATTGGTTAGGAACAGATATCCCATTTCGCTCTTTGGTAGTATAACATACCTGACCTCCATAGCTGCATAGATATATATGGCACCCCCTATATATACCCACATCTGCAAACACTTCGGTCTAGGTACATATCGTGCAAAGCAAATGGGGACAGATGTGATGAGTTCGTTTCCACTTTGGTACCTGGCTCACTGGTAGCGTAATGTTGCACATACTGCACGCATGTTGTGCGTCTGTACGCGTCGAGTACCGTGACGGCAGTACCATCTGCCGACACCCAATAAAGCCCAATGAGAGCATCCAACTCGAGCTCCCGATCCAATGGCAATCTGCAAGTCGAGCGTACAGTGCGAGTCTCTCTCAGCACGCACTTATACGAAGTGACACAACATGCATGATGCGGGCGGGCAGCTTCTTGTGCGGTTCATGGTGCCCAACCTCCAAAAGTGCTTTCCTGAAGAGAACGACAAAGTCAGGATTCGGCCATTTAGCGAGGTCTGGTCTCGCCCTAAACACTGATATCAGAGTTTGAGCAGCTCTTCATCATCTACAATATGAATAGCAAAACGACTCGCGTCGCGTCGCCCATGGCAAATGGGCAACTCGGTTCTGCCCAGGATTGGCGAGGTGCCACGCCTTGCCGATTCTTTCAGATGGGGTCTTGCACCAGAGGATCATCCTGTCCCTTTTCCCATATCAATGGTGTCTCCATTCGTCGTCCTCCAGAGCCTCAAAAGGTAACAGAGTCCCCTCCCACCCCCCCTTCTCTCCTGAAGATGCCAGTCGCGAGAACGTCCTGCTGACTCTTGTTGTTATAGCGAGGCGTGCCAAACTGGAAACCCAGAACGAACGACTACCCTTCTGCCACTGCACCTCCGGAGAGCGAAAAGCCAATTTGCCGATTCTTCAAAACCGGGAGCTGCGTATATGGGGAGAAATGTCTGTTCCGTCACGCTGAAGAGAATTTGGCTTCTCGAGAACCCACCCCTGCTACCCTTGCTGTAGCAGATGCGATTGAGGTTAGTTGTCCCACGCTGAACCTTCACAAACACCATGTTCAACCGTTCTTTGTACGCCAGAATGATGGGTCAATCAACTGAAGAATAAGTGTTGACTTGAATGTTGCAGGATGAATCCAAGAAGGACGACTTCTCGAGAACAATTGGAGGCGCATTCGTCCAATTCGAAGCTGGTGCTCGGGTATCCAAGATCCGTCTGCCCAGCGACTTCTCCGCCGTCCGTATCAACGGCTTGCCGCAAGGCACCTCTGAGCAATCAGTCCGTGATATGCTCGCCGAAAAGGGGCTCGACATCGGCGTCGACGATGTGTACATGTTGCACATGGATGGCAGCTGCGGAGCTTCTGTGAGATCGGATGACCCGTCCTTCTCCAAGAGGCTCTGTGCAATGTTCCACTCTGGCTATACATGGCAAGGTGTCAAGATATATGCAACTCCCATCGCTGCACCCATGCCCTCTGGCCACAGTGCTCGACGTGTGGACTGCAAAAAGGTCCACCTATCTTGGCACAAAGCGGTTCGGAACGTTTGGTTGAACTTTGACAACGGAGATACTGCCAAGAGAGTGAGCGATTTGTTCGCAAAGGGCAGCTATCGGATCTTGGACCAGAAAGTCACCACGAAGCCAGCTACTGAAGCTCAGCCGACTATTCATTCGTACGCGTGGTCGCCGTCAAGGAACCGGGTGAATTGGACAGTCATGCTGACTGAAGTGCCGGCTGCCGCCGAGACGAAGGACATCTTGCAGGCCATCACGCTGGAGAGAAACAGGCCTCGGCACGTAGAAGTTGGCCCGCCCACGTATTCAACCGATGCTGAAAAGGCTTCAACCATAGTACGCTCACTTCTAACAAACATTGGACCTCTGGAATATTTCGAGGTCACATTGGAGACCAACGCCAGGCGAGTCAAAGCCACTGCTCGCTTCTTGGACGAAGCCGACGCTAGGAGAGCTGCCACGGAGCTTGACAAAAAGGAGCTTATCTTCCATCCTAAGGCGCGGTTGACTGTCCAGATGGTGTACTCGGCCAAGTTCAAAGCCGGTACAAGCATTTACGACGCGGTCTACCCCAGAATCCTGGCTCAAGAGAAGGCTTGGAAAGGCAAGAATGTCATCTTCAAGGCGTACAACAGCACGGACCCCTTGAAGAGGTTCAGGCTCTTGAAGATTGAGGGAGAATCGGCAGCTGATGTTGCGGTTGCCAAGGCGGACCTTGAATCTATTCTTGGCGGCGTTGTTGCGAAGGGAGATGGCATCCCCCTCTGGGACTCTTCCCTCAAGGCTAATGGAAGGCTTTTCCAAGCGATCAAGAAGCTGGAAGCAGAGCTCTCCACGACCATCATCCGAGACAGAGGCAGATCTGAGTTGCGCCTTTTCGGGTCTCAGGCCCGCTGCGAGGAGGTGGAGCGTCGCCTTGCCGAACTGATACGAGCCGCGTCATTGTCGACATCTGCCCGGGCCATTGAACTCGAACCTCACAAGTTCTTCTGGGCCTGCCATGGGGGATTCAGGAAGATAACTGCCAGACTCGGGCCGGAAAAGGCATCGTTTGACATCATTTCCACGCCGAAGAAGATTGTCATATCCGGCTCGCTAGAAGACTACGATGTCGCCCTGGCCATCATGGAAGGCCGAGAACAAGTCGCCGAATCAGTCGTGCGACATGAAGTCAACGAAGCGGCTCAAGACTGTTCAGTTTGCTGGACAGAAGCGGAAACGCCTGTCAAGACCCGGTGCGGCCATGTATACTGCCAGGAATGTTTCGAAAGAAGCTGCACGATGGGAGACGGAACTGCCGCAGACTTCGCCATCCTATGCCATGGAAATCAGGGCAGCTGTAAGAAGGTCGTAGTGCTTGATGACCTTCAGGAGCATCTCTCCGAGGGAGCGCTTGAGGACGTGCTTGAACGATCCTTTTCGTCCTACATCAAGCGACATCCCAACGTGTTTCGCTACTGTCCCACTCCAGACTGCGGCTACATCTACCGAGTCTCCTCGGAGGCGAGAACTCTGAATTGCTCGAATTGCCTCAGGCCGACCTGCTCCGCTTGCCATGAGCCGCACGTCGGCATGTCGTGCGCAGATCACCAGGACATCAAGACGGGAGGCTACCAGGCCTTTGCGAAGCTCAAGAAAGAGCTGGGCATCAAGGACTGCCCAACATGTAAAACTCCGCTGGAAAAGATCGATGGATGCAACCACATGACTTGCATAGCGTGCAAGGCTCACATTTGCTGGGTGTGTTTGATGCTCTTCCCCAACGGCACCGGTATTTATGCGCATATGGCGAAGCTGCACGGAGGGCATATCGACATGACGGGATTGTAAATGCCACTCTAACAGCAGCTGTTAGCCCAGATCCATACCTGCACAAAAGGAGAGAAGATTGATGAACCGGTACCCTTGAGTGTCTTTTGCCAGTTCACCATCAAGTGTATGCGCCATGATACCTCTTCCACTGGTCTCTCTATGTTGGATCAGAGGGAACTGGTGGACTTAGTTCCTCGGCATCTGTTGGGGCGGCAGACTCTGTCCACTATAGCACATCGCTTGATGCCACAATTCGAGGGCAAATGATGTATCTAGAGAATGTAGGGTACACATCTGCATGAAGGCTAACGGTTGATGGTTTTGCTTCAGCAAAGGCTTTTCAATTGTCATTACTGCAAAAAGGAGCGAGCGAGAGTGCAGAAGGTGAAAGTAGAACTCGGTGATGCATGCACTGTGCGAGCGTTGGTGCTTGTATTCGCACCGTCCCCGCCCCCACCACGACTCTTTCCTCGAAATCATCGAACTTGAACTTCCGTCTGATATACATTTTTTGGTATAAGGTCAGATAAAAGAGACCGCTGTACTTCATTCACTTGCTCCTCCATTATACAGGTTCAATTACTCAACGTTCTGTTGTGCTCTTGTCCAGCCCTTGTTCTCACCTTCAACCAGACAATGTCAAGCAAGATCCCACCGCTTCTCGAGCCATATCTCGGGTTACCCGAGGAGGCATCCCTGATAGTCTTGACGAATGTCATGGGAGCGACGTCAAACTGGCTTATTCTACGGTACCTTTGCTCAATACTCCAGGGACGGAACATTGGCGGAGATGAGTCGGGGACGGACTCTGGCGTCGTGCTTGTGAGCTTCATGAGAGACTTGGCCTTCTGGAGAGAGGGCGCAAGCAGATTAGTGAGTTTTTTGAGACTTCACCTTCTCCTTGTATGTGTGTTGAAATTTCGAATGCTCATGTGAATTACTTCGTTCCGACAGGGTTTGGACTTGGACGGCCTGAGCAGAGCCGGCAAGTTCAGCTTCGTAGACGGACTGACAGGCCTGCTCTCAGGAGGCCAAGGGTCGGAATCCACTGGAGACAGAGGGCGAATCCTAAAGAGCGGCAAGCTGGAAGACGTGAGGAGAGGCATCGAAGCAGCTATTGGCGATGTGAGAGCGAGTTCCAAAGTCTTGATTGTGGATCAAGTAGACGAGCTGTTGGCGATATCCGATGAAGATGACGTGACAGCCCTGGCGCTGGAGAGAATGCTCTTTTCCTTGAGAGAGGTGAGTCACGATGGAACATGTCGTCTTTTCGGCGCTATCTCGTGGGCGGGCAGAAAGGGATGTCGTGCCTGATGTGGAATGGATTTAGCTAACAGAAGAATGCCAGCGAGTCCATGCGACGATTCTCGCCGTTTCCGCTGACGACGCTCTGCTGCGCTCTCAGAACACAGCGTTGGAGCGCTCTCATGCGGCGCTGGTGCTGGCGCAAACGCATGCGGCCGACCTGGTCCTTAGTCTCAGGATGCTGGACACGGGCGTGGCGAAGGATGTCAGCGGCGTGGTGAGGATCGCAGTGCGTAAAGAGGAGGATGAGGGTGCAGAGTATTTGTACCACGTTGGGGCAGACGGGAATGTCAAGGTTTTTGAGAGGGGGACTTGACGCTGGAACACACCCTATACTGGGTGATGATGAAGCGACCACCTATGGTGAGAGTATCTCGAGGTACATCTGCCAGTGACGGAGCGAAAATGGATATGGGCATTTGAGTACAGTTGGATGGGCGCATGAATGAGAAAGGTGGAAAGCATTCTACCCGAGCATCTGACAGTGATCAAGGCACAACATAGGTACTACACATAGAGCATCTGATCACTTGGGCTGCATGTAGAGGCATAATGAGAGGCCAAGAGTAAGGAACAGGCGACTTGAAGAATCAGGAATGTCATTTCAAGAGACTCCCTCCACCTAGATCCCCTAACGGAATTTCCGGCGCGAAAATCAAAAGCAGTCGGGGTCCCTTTTCTTTTCGATAACACCATTTGTCCCATGCTCCAGCCGCCTTCCTTGATCAATCGCCCAAATTTACATCCACCGCCACCTCCACTCGAGTCCATGCAGCGAAAAAGAAGGAAAGGAGAACATAAAGAAGACCTTAGAAAGAAAAAAGGAAGAGGAAGAGTTCATCCGGCAGATGCGTCGCTCATCACGCAAGAGAAGAGTGAGAAGATGCAAAAGCGTTGTCTTTGTTCGCCAGGACTCATTGACCTCATGGACGCGGGATTATTGTTCTTTTTTTGGTTTCTTCTATTTTTCCTCGTTTCTCTCTCTCTCTCCCTCTTCTACCCTTTTGTGCATAAGATCCGGTGTAGCGACGAAGAAAAAAACAAAAAAACCAGTAGAAGCAGAAAGAGAGCTCCGAAAACGCTCCACAAAGGTCACTTAAGACTCCTGCTCAGCGGACTTCTTGCCAACCCTGGCGTTCTTGGGGGCGCCGGTCTGGAAGCCGTTCTTGAATCGTCGGGAAACGTCCTTGAGGTAGCGGCAGCGACCAGTGCCAACGGTCCTTCTCCGCTTGGCCTTCTCGCTCCAGTTGTCTGCAAAGAAAGAAAGTATTGTTAGACGTCGATTCTCGCGCTTGGATAAGGTAGCGGGACAGAGGAAGACGAGTTGCGTCTCCTGTTTGTTTGGTTGGAAGGACAGATTAGAGTCCGGGAGAGCACATACACTTTCGCATCTTGGCGGCGGGGTAACCGCAAGAGGCACACTCATGCTTCTGGACGTGCAGAGAGCGACGACCTGTTCCAACCATAATCAGTATGCCAAAATTCATTCGTCCAAGCGTTCGATTCGGTCCGCCATCCGTCGCAATTGACCGCCCTCGGGCTGAATTCGTCGAGACGAGAGCACACTTCTCCAAGCCCAGTCGGTGGCTTCCCTTTCGATCTCTTCTCTGGTCCGTGTCTCTGGCGGCAAGTCTCGATCGAATCTTTTCCCTTCGGGCGGGTCTGTTGTTGCGCAGGAGGCATCACGAATGCCGCGTTTCCGGTGGATTGAGGATGGGAGAAAAAACTAACCGCATCGTCGGCAGAGAGTGTGCGTCTTGTTGTGACGCTTACCAAAGCTGGAGGTACCCTTCGCTACACACAGGATCAACAGTCAGCCTTGTTTTCCGCATCATGACCCAACAGAGGTTCTTCGCCAGATCCCGTCCTCGATTCTCCCTAGGAGTTTTATGTCCTCGCGCAGCATCTTTCGACGGAATATGCAGAGCTTTTCGGGGGTTTCGTAGAAACGGGATCTTCGAGGCGGCGAGCAGGAACAGCATCAAAACGTACTCATCTTGGCGGTCGGTGGTGGTTAGGCGTGAAGCTGGGGATGACGATTCACAGATTGTTAATTTGGGGGGGAGAGCAACGCCTTTTTCGCGGTGGAGTGTCGAATTGCCAGCCCTAATTTTTGCGTGGGAGTGGCGTGGGCCTGGGCGCCCGTCTAATCCACGTGATGATACCCTCTCGCCTGTGCACGTGATGCCACTTTTTTTTCCTTATCTCATCCTCGAGCAATCCGCCAGCTGAGTCAGCACATCCTTTTCACTGTCGGATATCGGGGCCGTCTGCTGGTGTAAGTCGGTAGAATCCTGCATCTGTTTGATTGAAGTTGAGGGCAATTCTGATTTGACCCGGTGCAAGTCGACCTGTATTTGCATATTATGGCATGATTATGCTTCTTCTGATTGAGACCGTCATGCATTGTACGAGGTCAGTTGTTTATAATCATGACTACCGGCTTCGAGGTTTACCTGTTGATGAGAAATACCATGTACTACTAGTGTACATTCTCTCAGTCACTCTTCCATCGTTCTGAGCAACGCAATGGAAAGAAACACCACACACGACTTTCGGAGATATATGTTCAAATTTGACTTAGTTCCTCATTTCGTATCGCTGACGCCAAGTCAGCTCTCTTATACTGAAAACGTGAAAACAAAACATCAGGTACTAGTATAGTCGAGATTCCCTTAAACGCCATCCCTACCTAAGGTATCCGGCCCAGGTCATAATAGACTGCATACGAAGGACAGACGAAGCAGCCCAAAAGCAGTTTCAAGCATTTGAACAGAGAAGCATCCATATACACAACCCATGTATATGCCATAGCCCCGAAACAAGTTTGCAAACCATGTCAACGCCGTACGTCCAGCTAAATTTCGTCGTTCCTTGTCCTTGATAACATCGCCTTCATATGCCTCTTAGGGCCATTGTGATGGCCCGATGATGTGGCCCGGAGCAACTTTCATAGATATTGCCTCTCCTCTGGCGTCCATGGTATGCACGGCCGCGTCATTGCCCCACCAGTGAGGACTGCTCATGTTGGTCAAGTAAAGGGTGAAGAAGATGAGCAGCGTGGAAATGATGAGACCACAATCGAGCGCTGCCGAAACGACGTAGTTGTACTGCAGCCACCAGCCCGTGTATCGTCGCCTGATAAAGTAGTTGAAGACGACGCCGGCGAGACCCCAGCACAGGTAAATGTTGACGGTCGCTGGAGGCAGCTGGCCGGTGCCTCCGAAGATGACGGGCGAGCTGACGTAGCGCCAGAAAGACTTGGGCCAGCGGCGAGCCAGCAGCCAAGTGGCAATGGGCGTGATGGCTCCAACGAGCCAGAACCACTGCAGCGATGCGTAGAGAGCTCCGTGGCTGAAGATGCGAGCGGGTCCGATGGCGCCCCAGATGATCGAGGCCGTGTAGAAGACGCGGCCACCCGGGCACGAATAGCCGTTTTCCTGCTGCTGATCGCAGACGTTGGGGATGTGACCCAGAGCCCAGTTCATGACGGCAATCTGCACGATAGCAGACCAGACAGAGGCCAGAAGCTGCGACGTGAACATGACGCGAGGGGGCACCTTCATGTAATGGCCGAGCTTCAGATCCTGGGCAAAATACAAGGCCTGGGACATGGAAATGTAGCCATAGTTCTTGAACATCATCATGGCCAGGGGCCGGCCGGGGACCATGTACCCAATGATGAACTCGGTTAGGACGTTGAGGCCGAGCTGGATGTTTGTAATGGCTTGGACGATGCCGATGGGGATAAGCCACACAATCGGAAGCAGCAAACAGACGACGAATGCCCACACCGGGAAGCCAGTATCCCAGCCGGCGACTATGCCAAAGGAGATGGCCACCATGCCAACGAAGAGCGCTGCCCCGATGATCATTGTTAGCACTCACTTACAGCTCCGTGATGGGGGGAAACAAGTGGTTATGCCGGGGGGAAGGAAGGGGGAGCGTGACATACCTGCGTACCACCAATCCTCGGCATCGCGGTACTTCTTCATCAGCCGCATGTGAACGTCGTCCTCCTGATGACGGGCGAGCTTAAACTGGTTCCAAATTTCTTTGCCATGGTAGAGAGCAACGTGGATGAGAACGGCGGCAACGGCAGCAAATGAGAGAGCGTAGGCGAGGGCAAATTGAGTCGGCAAGAACAGGGGCGAATACTCCTTGTACGCTGTCTCGTTGAACTTCAAGTCATTGCCCAGGATTCGCGAAACGTTGTAGACCTGGCCCAGGTTGTCGTATGAGTCGGAAGACTGAACAGGAAAGTAATCGGAATACCAGGTGCCGCTGAAGTGAATTCCCATGGAGATGACGATGAAGAAGATGACGATTCCGCCCAGCACGTTGGCGATGGCATGGAACGGAGGAATCAGGGGCGAGCCCACGAAGCCGCTGTAAACAGACCAGTCGAAGGAGGTGGGCATCAAGCCATATCCGTGGCTAGGCCCAAAGATCTTTTGAACGACGACGCTGTTCGGGACAGCCCAGCAGACCCAGGCAAAGGAAGAGAGGCCCCTGAAGATCCACCCGGGGAACCAATACCAGAGGAACGCGCCGAATCCGACGATGAGGAAGAGCTTGTAGCGGCCAATGGACCAGCCGTTCGTCTTTGACGGGTCCGATGGCGAGTGGTCATGCAAGCTGTAGAAGAGGGCGACGTTGACGAGATCCGCGGGCCAGATCATGGCAGCGGGCCAGACCAGGAAACGGCGAGCCAGGCCAGCCAGGCCATATCCTGTACACAGCGTGGTGATTCCGAAGAGAAGCTGGAAAGCCCAGCCAAAGTCCTGCTTGTAAAAGAGGCGCTGCGCCAGCAGAACATCGGTCGCATACAGCACGCCACCGCCATAGGCAGCCTAAGGCGAGACATCGTCAGCCTATGTCGACGCAGAAAGGGGGGTTGGTTTTCGTAAAGCCCGTTGGCTTTCTCTTCTGTAGTGATAAGATGACTTACATTGGACATGGCGACAATGATGACGTGCTCCTTGTGGTTGAACTTGCCGGGTCGGAGGTTGAACTTCAAGCCGAAGACGTTCCATTCCTTGTCGGGCATGACCAGGTCCCAGCCGCGGCCGATGGGATAGGCAATCAGCTGGATGACATATGTCGTGATGGCGACGCTCGGGTTGCGCAGGGAGAAGAGCATGTTGACGCCAGAGCCGACGGTACAGAGAACGAGGCCGATGACCCAAGCACGGATGGTGTTGGCAGGGACGTCGACATCATAATTTCGAACGACGGCTCGCACCTATAAGAGCAGAGGAGAAAGGGGATTCATCCCATCAGCTTACATCGTCCTTGTCTTCTGTTGGTGATGTCCTTTTCATCTTTCCCTCCGCGTGAAGATGTCTGAATCTCGTTTCATCTCCCACAGACGGGTGGAAGAACCAAGTGGATAATAAGTCATACCTCGGGATACGGGCTGTTATCCTCCATGAGGGCGTGCTCAATCTCGATGCCCTTCTCGGCATTGCCGGTCGCTATAGCGGCGTCGACATCGTTGAGGTCGTCAATGGGCAGGTTGGGGTCGAGCTTGTGCGCCTTTTCAAACTGCTGGAGGTGCTTGAGATGCTGCATGCCGGGCGTGTCCGTCTCCAGAGGGCCGGGGATCGGGGTGATGTGCTCCGGCTCATGGCGCCGGCGGAAGAAGGATAACGGCATGTCGACGGTGAGAAGCCGCTGCCGTTGCGAATTCTGAGCGTCGACGATCCGCGGCGCTGGTCTGCGCGATGTTTTTGGGCGATGCCTCTGCTGCGACTGTCGCCCTTGTCGTCGCTTTACTATCGCAGTTCCCCGCCTGGCTGTCGAAAGATCGAACGAGCCGAGTTGGATCGAGTCGAGTCGAGTCGAGTCGAGTCAAACCGTATGGGGCCGGGTCTGTCTGGCGGACTTGGCTCTTCTCTCTCCTCTTCTCGCCCTCTGTCTTGCTCTCGCTCGGCGAGGAAGGATTGTAGGTCGGCAGAGATGAGAAAAGAGAGCAAGGTGCGACGGCCTACTGCAGCACACACACACGCAACAACAGCAGCAGATAATCGCCTGCGACGCTAACCCCATGGGCTGCAATATTACATGTACCTACTCGTACATGCTGCAATGCCTCACAAGTGCAACTACCTACATACATACCTTACAGCACATCTGCGCCCTACCAATCACGGACCCTTGTTTGTGAGTGACTCTCTCTCTCTCTCTTTCACGAGTCCAGGCGACTCCATCTTTGATCAAGTTCCCCCGCCAAGTCATGGGCAGTGTGGCGCTCGAGCCCAGACCGAGACGAGAAGAGACGGCGCATCACAGTGTGCGGCTAAGGCGTCGTGCCCCTGTCGGTTCCTGTCATCCACCATGTGCCAACAGACGCTGCTGTGTGCCACAGAACGAGCAAGACGAGGGAGAGGCTTGGGAGGGCTTGGGAGGACCTGCTACTAGGCTTGGCTTTGGAGACGATGCTCATGCGCTGCGGCTTGGTTGGCTGAGCCGGTGCCAATCTAGCGATAACCTGCTCCTCCTGGGCAACGACGGCGTTGCAAAAAGCCAGACCTTCCTAAAGGACCGTAGCGTTTGGTGTCCTTGCGTGGCTGGGCATGGGAGACAGTTGGAACAAGGCGCGGGAGCACGGAGTGCGACAATCCTCCCATAAGAACCCACGCCAGCCGACGCCGAGGAGCGACCATGATGGTTCCCCATCTCCAAGCCGCGGCGGTCCATGAGTGTTTACGAAACACTCGATGATAATGTCCGTGATGTAGCAAAGTGCAGGTATCAACTACCGATTGCTCGTACAGCGCATGCATGTGCTCATCCAGTCTCTTCCGTGCCTCATGGGATGCCCGAGATTCGATAGATACCGGCCTGTTTCCGAGTACTCTCGTTTGCCTCCAACGAAAGACCGAAGCCGAGCGCAGTCCCAAAGCCAGCCAGCATGTGCTTCTGACACACATGCTTGCCGTGCCTAGCTGCGAGGCGCAAAATAGTCTGCTCCCATCTCGCCCGCCCAGCCAATGATGCAGCCAAGGGGGGGTCCCTTAGCCTCGACTTCTTCTCCAGGGTGAAGGCCCTTATCTCTTCCCCCCCTCGCATGGCGTATTTCTGACTTGGAATCGCGAGAGGCAGCTGAACCCACGATAGGCCGAGTCTTAATCTATCTTCTCCCCCCCAAGAATCCGATCTCGGGGACCGCAGGTGCGTGGCTTCTGCCAGCGCAGATTGCGAAATGCCTATCTCGAGCACAGAAGCTGAGTGAAGGAAAATCGCTTTCTGGGTATTACCTCGATAGCTTCCTCTGGGACTGCGACCCTCGGCTGGACAGTAGGTGTTTGTCGAAATTGACACGGGGTAGATCGTAGCCTTTTGTTGGTTCGTCATGGATCTCTGTCTCGTCCAGTCTCTGCCAACGGAAAGAGAGAAGAAAAAGCAGGCGATGTTCCGTCCTCATCACTCCGCACTGTACGCACGCATTACCTACTAGTAGGTAGTGGCTGTCCAGACACTCTCACAGGGCCAGTCTGTTGTTGCCCGACAGCGTGCAGACGCCACAAAGAGAGAAATTCTCAGCTCCCCCCTGCAAAACCCGGGGTTCCAGGCCCTCTGATATCTCCGATCGACGGGTAGTACTACTAGACGATATCATCATCCATGGATCTCTCTGCTAAGCCTCGGTACCTCAAAGTTCAAGTCAAGTCGTCAATCAACGCCATGTCAGTTTCTTCATCCGCTTCAATCTACCCAACCCGCGACAGCTTCATCATCACCCACGCAAAGTACATACAAACCAGAGTCGCTGACCACTCAAGGCTGCCTTCGTCCAGTGTTTCTCTTGTGCTCCGCTCCGCCACCCGACAGTGTGGAACTTTTGACGCGGACCGGCCAAGGCAAAACAGAAGTTCCAGGTCCCTCTTCCGGCGCCGTTTTCCCACTCACAAGCATTTAATATTAGAGGTACCGCGCATTCAAGTAAAGGCACCTCAGCCGCCACGCTCTACCTCCTGGGCACTTTTGTCGGCGTCAGCTTTGCTGCACTTTCGGTTGACCTTTATCCTTCTTTGCTTACCTTTTGTTTCTCAAGCCCTCCTTTTCGCTACAGGACGGGCTATTGTGCATGAGTTTACGATTCATTTACTTGGTATTGTCCATATCTCCCGCGTTCACGCCACCAAAGCCGGAAAGTGAACGTATCTCTGCACCTCTGTCATGCTCTGAAAACTCACTACAGTGCCGCATGTGTTACCTACATGTATGAGAATGAGTGAAGGCAATGTGTGCTTATTTTCGGCTCACTGAAAGCTCGAGCAAACACCAAGCCAGATAATTGACCTTTGAATCATCTTCGTCGACTTCTCATATTGCCCATTGCGCATTATACGGCCATACCTGACCTAGTCAGTTGAAGTGCGTTCTGCTTCCCAAACGCTGCTGCAAAGCGTCTTGGTGATACGTGTACGGCACCGTCAACATTTGCAGGAGTCCAAGCAAGTGCTTGCCCGAAAGGATATCCTCGCATTCTGGACGGATAGGTCGCAACATGGAGAGCTTCATTGCTCTGACAGACGAGTAGACAGCCTACTGCATCCTTCGGTAAAGTAGACAACAACGGGCACAATAACACATTCTTCTTTCATTCCGTGTTCAGCAACATACAATGGCAAATCATGTCATTATCATTTTTGCTTCATCAATCGTGAATTCTTCGGTCTTTTCATATTATATACAACAGGCACAGCTGCTTCAAGCACTAGCTGGGTATCCCAGATACAAGGGGTCAAAGAGAATCATATAAGCCAAACGTAGAAATCCAACAAGGGTCCCAGTTACAACGGGTTCAAGTCGGCGACATGGCCCAACGAGACATTCCACAGCGTGGTCCTCCCATGCGTAGCCTCTTTCCATTCTTCTGATGCAAAGACCCCCTTTGCGTACTCTTGCACTCTCGCCGTCAGCAAGTCTTGTCGCCTCACATCCGTCAGCCTCGCGATCAGTGCTGTGGCGTGTGCGTCCAGTATGGTCGGCTTGTCTCCGAATATCCAAAGCTGCCCTTCGTTGTGCTCCTTGAGGGCTGCATCAAGCTCCTCCACGAATCCACGGGCCTTGGCTTCTACCTCGCCGATGCTGGCGGGGGTGAACATGTTGCTGTAACATAGCTCGTGGCTAGGTAGACAGAGGAGGAGGAATGCTCGTCAGCAATGCCTCCAGGCGATGAGTCTCTTCTTCATGATTAGACTTACAAGACGCTTCTCAGCTCCAATGCTCTGCGATGATGCTCCGTCAGGTCCTTCTGCTCCAGCAGCTCCGCAGCTCGGTTAGGAATGCCATGTTTCTTCTCTTCGCGCCCTATGGTTAGGGCCATGGCGTGGAAGCTGTACAACTTGTCCATGATGCTCTGGATGGTGGCTCGATAATGGTCGGGCACAAGCTCCGGCTGCTGCTCACATAACCATTCGGAGATGTCTCGACTGTCTGTAAGGGGCGTGGCCAGCGCCCGCGAGGTGAGTGCGGGCACCTTTGCAGTGTCAGCACCGAGGACCATGTGCTTTCACCACCTTTGGGGCCAGCAAATAGACTTGTTAAGAGACTAACCTGGCCTCTTGAGTTCACCAAAGTGAGATACTCCTCCGAAAGATTTTCTTCCCGGTGGAGATTGACCAACTTGATGTGGACTTTGGGAGCCGTGTCAGAGTTCAGTCGACGTCCCAGGACGAGCCCAAATCGTATCATGAGCGAATAGAGCGAGAATGGAAAGTAGTGGAGCGTGTAAAAGTCGCTCTCGGCTGCCATGGTCATGTCGTCAAAGTCGACGGAATGAGCTGTAAGAAGATGCTGGGCCTTGGTCAGGACTTGGACAGACTCGATCCAGTGGAGGGCCAGGCTTGAGTTGGACTTGCAGTTGATGAAGAATCCCAGATGAGCAGCGGCAGCCCTTTGATGCAATATCTCGAGAGGGGGTTAAGTCTATAACGGTGGTAGATGTCGGCGAGAGCCTCTCTCTTTTCTCTCTCTCATATCTGATATGGAGTTGTTAGATCCGGGGGCAGTGGAGCCCAACCCCCGGACCGGCTTCGCCGTCGCGTTCAAGATCGGGCGCCGCTCCTGGCCCCTGCTCCCTCAGCTGCGCCTCACTACGCCTCACTCTCACCGAGATTTCCCACGGCATTGGCTGTTCTCCGTATGACGAAACGCGCCATCGGCCGGAGTCGTCTCCCCCTCTCCCCTGAATCTGGGGCAATTGCATCATACGACAATTCTTCCTCCTAGTAATGCTCTCTCCAGCAGCCACTTGGTCCGTTGGTGACTTCTGGTCCGTCCTGACTGCGTCACTGTCGCTTTCATCACAGCATTGGTCTCGTGGTGCAGCTGGTCCCGCATCAATCCATTAACGATGCGCCCTAGCCTGCTCAGCTCGGCATTTGGACAAGAAAGAGAGGGCAAAAGGTTCGGGGTCCATTGAGGGAGCAGATCAATGTGATCCAATACCTACTGTAGGTAGTGCGCGCTACTGTATCTACCCTACATCTCGGATCCAAAGCCCGTCTCCAATCTCAGGACAGCAACCTTCGCCAGCCCCCTTCGGACTTCTGCATTGGATGTCTCTCATAGCATCAAGAGATATGGCCAGAACTTTATACCTCACGAAAGGTCCATCCATGTATCGTAGTAGCGCTCTTTCAATAGCCGATGTGAGCTGCAGGGCATACCGGCATTAGTCCCACTGATCACATGTTCATGGGACGTGATCAGCAGTGCTCTTGTGGATATTGTCGGTTCTCAAACCTCTGATCTTGTCACCAGTGAGCGCCCTCCGCTGTACTTCTCTTTTGAGTAGATTGAGTGCCTCATACCGAAGCAGCCAGGCCTGAGCTCAATCTGCCGGCATACTGTGTCAGAACTGATGGATCATTGGCCGCGCTTGGAGCACTGGGAAAGTAGAGAAAAGGAGGTTACGAGAGCCAAGATTGAGCCACTCGAGGGTCACAGATGCTGGCGAAGAAATCCGCGAGCAAGGCTACATATCAGGGAATAAAACGACCTTCTAGCTTATACAGAGTCTTCAACCAGTCGGTATCAAGAGGCCCACGGATGCATGATGCTGAGAACACCAAGGCCATCCGTTGGTCGAGTGAAGAAAGTATTCAGACCCGTCATCTCCTTTGCCTCGCCTCAAGGCATATTGTGTGAAGAAGCTCAAATGTAACAGAGTGGGAAGCCAGGACACCATTTCGGCCAGGAACAAGATCGTTCCAGGCGAGACATCAGTCGTCTCCTCACTGGTCAGCCCAAAGGCTACCAATTGGTCTGTTGGGATGCCTCGCAGTGTACTTTCTCCTGGTGAAGGCGATTAGGCAAGATCCGTCATCTCTCTCACAATCATGACTTTCTAAGAGAATTCGAATTGAGGAGCGTGGTCCATGATCTCCATTACCACTTCACTTCATCGCCGAGCTGGAGCCAATATACGCTCCATCGTTCTTGCCGCTGTTGAAGGCGGCTCACTCTCATTGTTTGGGTCATGTCTATTGACTGTCTTCGTGCAAGATGCGGTCAGAAGGGCGCACTGCTTGACAATGAGAACACTCGGCTGGAGACAAAAGCTTGAAACCCGTATCTTGGACCCTTTGGATTCATTAATAGTCATGTTCGAATCAGAGAGATGAAAGAGATACGAGACAGTGTGATGGAAACAAGGCGCCGGACCCCTACGTGAATAGCAGCAAAGGGTGAGCTGTTTGCGCACAATAAACGAACAGAGCGGAAATTGCGAGAATGGGGTGTCGGAAAGATGCCCGTGAGCATAACCCAAGCAGTTGACTCGACGAGCCAACTTCCATAGCCTTTCACAGACATACGAAAGACCGGGAAAGTCGGCTGTGGTATGCCCAACATCGGCTCTGTGTCGCCATTGTGGCCAGAGAAAGTCCCGAAGCTAGAATGCATATCTAGAATACAAGACAGTCAGCAGTTCAGGCAATAACTAGCCGCCTCGAGAGGTAGCCATATCAACATGTGGTACGACGAGCCTATATTCAGTATCGAATGAACATTGCCGCCTGAGACCACTGAACAGGACAAGAGAGCATCCAATGGCTATAACGAAAATGATTTCCCCCAATGGAATCGGAAAGAGGTAACTTTGCAACCTGGAGCGAGATACCATGTATCAAAGGCTGCATGCCAAGAAGCTACTCCGATGACGAAGATACTTGACAACTTCTAGGTCTACGGAAAGCGCTGAGAACTCGCCGATAGCGAGAGGAGCGAGGTTGTATTTGCGATACTGTTGTCGGAACGGGTGCCAGGTAATCTGAGCGTATCCCCAAGCTGCAAGGCATCCGCCATTGCTTGGTAATAATCGAGTGTGAAGCTGGCTTCATGTGGTCGTGGACTATATGAGAGTTCATGACATGCCAATGTTAAGCAGCACCACTAGACGAGCACCTCGCATGGGGAGGCATCGACCGGTGGGTACGCAGACTCGAATGCATCATGGGCCAGCGTTCTCTGTACTCGTATTCTGTAGATGCACGACTGATACCCATGGTAGTACAAGTATGTATGTACATACAGTAGTTCCTGTAGCAGATCATACAATCCATGGCGGCTGAAGCTCCGAGTGATCGACAGGGGGAACCGCTTTTCCGGCTGGGGGATTTCAGGGGGGCGCGCATAGCCAAAACGACGCGGACCTGATTACTATCCACACAGTCAGTTACAAAGTTAATGTACGGAAGTTGATGTTCTCACCCTCCGTGGAAGCACAGGCACTACATACCAACACACGAGTGCCTCTTGGCCTCACATGTGAGCCACCAGGCAGAAGCAGGGAGCTGCAGCTTGCGTCTGGCCAGCGTTAAATCACAGTGGCTGGTGGGATGAAGCAGAGGTCAGGCAATCGAGCCATAGAATCTGTCGTTTGCAAATGAGAGCCAGCCCAGGTCAGACACATACATGCAAGTACCTAGTTGCGCGATCTGAACGCTAGGGGGTTAGGACGCTTGCAACATAACGTGCTGTGTCACAGCTCTCTTCCCAGTCGCTCTTTGCCAGGATTACTATTGTGAACAGTGACGGGGCGACAGACTTGCCTACGTAATGCGTGAGGAGAAGGCCAGAGAGAGGTAGGTATTGTTGCGCTCAGCATTCTGCTTCTGGAGACAGTGGCCCCCCCCGAGTTGTTACATCATCGATGGTCAAGGATCAAGCCATCGATCGCGATGGCACACGAAATAATAGTAGATCATCTTGGTCCATACTCATTTCCTCCTTGGTGCTTCGAGCAAGCATTCGACCAAGATAGTAGGAGCAATACCATCTGTGATCAAGGACAAGAGCTAGGTATGAGATAAGAGATGGCGATTGTCACCCTGGTCCAATCTCGGGAGGGTGAACGGGGGCGGGTAAGGCGGCTGCGTTGCCTCCGTTCCACGAGCCCAATTCCGTACCTGCAGCTGGTTGCCGCCATCCCAGCTGCAATGCCGGTGGTACAGAGTACTACTAGCAGTAGTATCGAGAAGGTCTGGTGTCTTTTTGTCGTCATGAGGTCGGGAAAAAAAAAATAAGAGGCAGCCAGCCGGGCACTCTGTCCCCATACCTACATACATATGTACTTGCCTAGGTAGCCTGTGGATTCCGTGTCATGTATTACAGTGGGCGCTCCATAAAAAACAGCCCAACCGAAGGGCTGTCAAAAGTCGCGTCGAGTTGAGCTATTCAGGGGGGCTCCCATGTGCGGCTGCATCGCCTTTTGCCTATTTTGCACGTAGCCGCTGGATCGGAATCGATCTAAATAGGAGCTGCGCCGGGCTTGTTGACGACGCATTGACTCGGCAGTCCTTCTGCGTTTCGTTTCCATCTTGGGTTTGGAGGTGTGTGTACCTACCTTGTACGAGTTGAAGTAGGTAACCTTATCGAGAAATGAGCTCAAGCATCAACGCAGCAAGAAGGCAGCTGCCAGGTACTCGTTTACCTACCTCCTGACGCCTTCCGATTCTCCTGGGAATTCCCTCCCGTCCTGCGCTTTCCTCCATCCTCTACCTACATGCCTTGATAGTGGCAAGTGGTGTTACGTTGCACTCTCTCCAATGAGAAAAGAGACATGCGCATGGATAAGGCGGTGATACAACGTACAAGTGACTAGGTACCTACCTAAGGTACCTACTTACCTAGGTACCTCCTTACTTGGTAGGTAAGGTAGCCTTCCTGACTGAGGACGACGAGGCTGGTAGGTAAGGTATTCAGATTCCGGATGCTTCCTTCTCAGCGCAGTGCGAGCATGGTTTCTTCCCTGGCAACTGGATCCCGCCTTCCAGGAGTACATAAACCAGATGAGATGGCAATGCTCTCCTGCACCTTGCTAGGCTCCCACTTCCTCGCCTGCAGCGATGCTCCGTGAGCTGCAGTTCGATTGCGAATCTATGATGCCATGGCCGGTTAATGGATCCCGAGCTAATGCATGGCTGCTGAAGTGGTAATTTCCTCTTTCCCAGTTTTGGTGCGGGGGCCGCGCAAGACTGAAGCCAGGTATCGGAGCTCTGAGGATTGCCGACATTGTGTCAGCCGCCAAGTGCCTCCTAGGGCGGTACCTGGAAGTACTTGGTGCCTGCCCAAAAGCACGGTATCTACCTAGGGCTTCTGAACACAGAGAGACTCGTCTTCTGTTTCCATGATGATCAATGACAAGCAACTAGGCAGGTACCTAGGTATCATTACGTGTCTACCTTACTATTACTCACACAATGTCCGTTTTGTTACTTACTCGGCTCCAAAAAGGAACAGTCATGGCAATTGCA